CGCAACCCAGTGCCTTTAAGCAGGGTGGTGGCGCGCCGGGAGGAGGTTGCCCTCAGGTGCCCCAGGAGTCGCCCCTGATAGAAAGGCACCTTGGCTGTGGCAGGAAGGCCTTTGTCTATAGGCTGTCAACTGGAAGCCCTGCGAAGTGCAAGGCTGCCCAAACCCTTTTTTCCTTCTTTGCAATCCTGCAAGCATTACGGGAGGCCCCAGAGTTCCCTGCAGAACTCCACAGCTCACCCTGTCATTTCAGCCACCCCCAGTTCCTCCTGCTTTAAATCACACAAGGTTCCCTCTAGTCCTTGGGAAGCCTAGAAGCCTGTCCTCTCTCTATCTGCAGAGTACTGTCCCCCACACAGATCCCACCCTACCGGTGGGGTCTGGATGGAGCATGTACATTTGCCATTGCAACGTGCAATTTTATTAAATGCTTAAAAAAAAAAGAGACGGGGTCTCGCTGTGTTTCCCAGGCTGGTCTTAAACTCCTGGACTCAAGGGATCCACCTGCTTGGGTCTCTCAAAGTGCTGGGATTACAGGCCTCAGCGAACATGCCCCGCCTGTGTTAAATGCTTGTTTGTGAGACTTAAAGGGAACTGGCTTCTTGACTGGTGGGGAAAACGCTCACTGCAGGAACCCCTTATCCTAGCAGAGAAGGATACATCATCCAGAGCTGCACAAAAATCTAAGGTGTAAAGATGGGCTGATTTCATGCATTCAGTTATTCATTCAACACATTTCTAGACTGGCTTCCAGCCCAGGTACTGTACTCTAGAACCATTAAAGAAGTGCGAGGGACAGGGGTAAGGTGTTTATTATTTTTCTTAATCATCTAAACCCAGTCACTAAGCTAGAGGCCACTGTTTCTTTTTCTTTTTTCTTTCTCTTTCCCTGTCCTTCCCTCCCTCCGTCTCCCCAGCTCTCCCTCTTCTTTCTTTCTTTCCTTCTTTCTTTCTTTTCCTTCCTTCCCTCTCTTCTTTTTTCCTTCTTTTCTTCACATGAGGAAAGCTTCAAGTTTACTCCATAGTGTCCATCTGCCAATACATCATGTTGGTCTTGATCCAAGACACTGTCTCAGTTGGCTCAGGCTGTTCTAACAAAATGCTACAAAAGGGGAGACTTAAACAACAGAAATTCATCAAAGTCTTTGGGAGAAAAGAGACCCGTGTGGGAAACATAGAAAGACCCTGTCTCTACCAAAAAAAAAAAAAAAAAAAAAAAATTAGCCAGGCATGGTGGCATGCACCTATAGTCCCAGCTACTTGGGAGGCTGAGATAGGAGGATTGCTTGAACCCAGGAATTTGAGGCTGCAGTGAGCTATGAATCCCACCACTGCACTCCAGCCTGGGCAACAGAGCAAGACCCTGTCACCTAAAAAATAAAAAATAAAGACATTTAATACAAATTGCACATTACAATTACACAACACATACATTTTGTGTCATTATTTTCCCCCAAAGAGTGCTGATTATCCAAGGCTAGAAGTCTGAGATCAGGGTGTCAGCAGGGTTGGGTTTTGTAGGGTCACTCTTACTGGTTTGCACCTAGTCACCTTCTCACTGTGTCCTCACATGGTGCTAGAAAGCGATATCCTAAAATGAAGACCTCAGAAGCAAAAAACTTTCTCTGATCTCCTGCCTTCCTATCTCGGTCCCATTCTCCCCCAGACTGGCCATAGAAACTAGAATCCCTCTTCCCCAAGGCAGGTCATAAAAACCACAACCCCTTTTTCCCAAAGCCAGACACAAATCCTAAAAATATTACTCTAACTCCTGCCTTTCTGTGCAAATGCTGACCATAAATTCTCTGGGCCACCTTGTTTGGTTGTAGGTCATAAGACTCCCATTTCACAGAGGGTCCTATCTCATACTCGAGAGGAACGAATGCCACGCAGAGAGGCCAAGAAGAATCTAGACAGACAGGCCTTGCTGGATATCCTCACTCAGTGTATTAGCAGTAGATCCTGCCCGATCCTATTTCTACATAGCAGTCCAAATTTTGTTGAACCTAAGCATTAAAATAGACAGCTTCTTCTGTATTCATTCTGAGGGATTTTGTGTCACACAAAACTATGATCAAATAAATGTGTATGCCTTTTCTCTTTTAATCTGCCTTTTATCAGCTGATTTTTAGTGAACCTTCAGAGGGTAATGGGAAGATTTTCCCTTGGGCCCTGCAGCAGAGAGAAAGAGAAAAGCCAGCTGTCTTGTGTCTCTTCTTATAAGGGCAGGAATCCTACCATGCCACTCCACCCTCATGACCTAATCATCCCCCAAAGGCTCTACCTTATAACACCATCACCCTGAGGATGGGGGTTTTCAACCTAGAAATTTGGAGGGAACACAGACTTTGAGTCCCTAGCAATCACCCATGAGAACCAGGGCTGATTTCCTGACACCACCAAGCAGCCGCCAGATGGTGGGCAGAGAAAATCCTAAATCTTAGCACCTGAAAGACATATTCTTACCCAAAGTCCTTAGAATGCCCACCTCCTGTCCCACTCCAAGTTTTGTTTCAAACCTTCCCATACCAGTAGGAAGCCAGGAAGCCTTAGTAAGAACCTGGTGGGAAGACCAGCTTCTCACTGGGCTGGCAGGACCAAGACAAGCAGTGCTATATATGTATATATATTAACACTTGTTAAAGCATGGTGAGGAAGATTTCATTCAGGATGATGGAGTAGGATTAGGACCATTGCAGTGGGATTCTGCAGCAGGGTAGAGAAACTGGGCTCAACTCTGAGTACTGCACTGACAAGTGGAAATGTATAGACAGGAGTAGGGTAGATCAGTGGATAGAACAGTATTAAGAGGAGACATCAGGGCTGGGCCGGGCACAGTGGCTCATGCCTGTAATCTCAACACTTTGGGAGGCTGAGGAGGGTGGATCACTTGAGGGCAGCAGTTTTATGGCGAAACCCTGTCTCCACTAAAAATACAAAAATTAGCCTGGCATGGTCATGCATGCCAGTAATCCCAGCTACTCAGGAGGCTGAGGCAGGAAAATCACTTGAACCCGGTAGGCGGACGTTGCAGTGAATTGAGATTGTGCTACTGGGTGACAGAGCAAGATTGCATCTCAAAAAAAAGAAGAAGAAGACATCAGGGGTGAGGGGGATTCTGGGTAAACCAACTTCACAGGGCTCTTGCTGGAGGCAGGCAGAGTGATCAGACATCACCTGGGGATGGAGGATGAGGTACCCCATCAGATAGCACAGAGGGTGATCAGATATTCAGAATCAGGGGTTCTGATTAAATTGACTTAGCGGGGCTCTTCCTAAAACTGGATTTCACAAGAAAGTGCACAGATGGACTCAGAAGGAGGTTCTGGAGCCTGACCAGAGTTTGGTCAAGCAGAGAATCTTAGTCGAAGGGCTGTTTGAGAACTAAATTGAATCAAGTATTTATTAAATGGTTACCTAGCCAGCTCTCAGTGAGCACTCTAGAAATGCTTGTTAAATCAACACATATTTCAAAAGGAAACAGATAAAGTGCTTAATGTTGGGTATGCCCAAAGCCACTCAGGGAACCCACAGTCTCAAGATGCCCAGAAGACCTCAGAGGACAGACTTGAATGTAGAAGGCACTGCCTCAGCTCACAGGCTTATTCACAAGCAAATACTGACTGGGCCCCTGCTGGGTGCCACACTCTGTGCTCTGGAGACTCAGACATGAAAGCCACATCCTTCCCTGTGAATTAAGCTCAGTCAGCATGCTGGTGAGAGAGAAAGGTTCGTGCTACATATTTATGTGATGGATCTGCCCCGGGCATACAGCATGCTCTGCTGAGGTAGCCCAAGCTGCTTATGGCTGGATCAGTCCTAAGAAGGAAAGGCGCTAACAGGAATTAAGCACAAAACAGATGCTGGGCACTCTGCCCACTGCTTCACACTCATTAATGCTCAGCAACGCTATCAGGTGGGCACTGGCAGCCTCATTTCACAGATGAGTGTATGGAGGTATGGAGAGGTAAATTATCTGCCCCAGCTAGGGCAGATAAATGACCTCTGGACTAGGGCTTCTCAAATTGTAAAGTGCGCACAAGTCTTTTTAAAATGCAAATTCTGACTCAATCAGATTGGAGTGGGCCCGAGATTCTGCTTTTTTAACCAGCTCTTCCGTTGAAGCTGAAATACACAACACCTTACGTTTCTTCATTGGGAGTTAATATAATGGCGGGGAGAGAGGCGCAGCTCGGAGACAGTGCCTTCCATAAGCCTGCCCTCTGACGGGTAATCGCAAGCAATCACAGTACCCACCTCTCGGGGACACTGGGAAACAAATGAGATCGCCCATAGCAAGCCCTTTGCATTATGGCTGTCACTTCAAAGGGGTTTGGGGGGATTTTTAAAACAGTAGAAAGGACTAGGTTTCATTTGAAAACCATTCAATTTCTTTCTCCAGTTAAAACTCTGCCTCATGACTACAATTCCAATTTAAGTACGTTTGTATGTTTTCTGTACTATTTTCTGTATTTCCTAACGAACCGTTTGGATTTACAATTGAATTCTGAGAGGAATGCATCCCTTTGATCTTTGGAGGAATGGAGGGAAGGGCAAGATATGAAGGGTTAAGGTCGTTGCAAACTGCCATTCCCACCCCCACCTCCCCTTCTAAATAAGCACTAACTACCACTCCTTAGCTGTGTGCCTCAGGAAAAAAAAAATGCCCCCATGTATGTGCCTCACAGCCAGAGAAGACTGCAATTTGGGGTTGAAACCGTTTTTCAGTTTCTTTTTAGCTACGTCCAGATCCGCTGCGGACACAAAAATCTCCAGGTTTAAAACAAAGGCTTTGAACAAAGATGCGCAACCTCAGCTCCTGTGCGCGGCGGATATGCCTTGGGATTGGTTGGACCACCGTCCAATAGGAAAGAAGAACCGGACTCTCCTCTTTGCATAAATTCCTCCCGGTGGCGGCCTCGGCGTCAGGCCGTCCAATCAGACCGTACAGATTTGGAGCCTTCATTTGAATATAAAGATGGCAAATAGCCCTGCCCGCCTCGCGTCCGCGTTCGTCTAGGAGCTCTTGTCACCCCGCCATGCCGGAGCCATCGCGGGCGGCTCCGGCTCCTAAAAAGGGCTCCAAGAAGGCCATCACCAAGGCGCAGAAGAAGGACGGCAAGAAGCGCAAACGCGGCCGCAAGGAGAGCTATTCTATCTACGTGTACAAGGTGCTGAAGCAGGTGCACCCCGACACCGGCATCTCGTCCAAGGCCATGGGCATCATGAACTCCTTCGTCAATGATATCTTCGAGCGCATCGCCAGCGAGGCCTCCCGCCTGGCGCACTACAACAAGCGCTCCACCATCACGTCCCGCGAAGTGCAGACGGCCGTGCGCCTGCTGCTGCCGGGCGAGCTGGCCAAGCACGCCGTGTCCGAGGGCACCAAGGCTGTCACCAAGTACACCAGCTCCAAGTGAGGCGCGTCCCGGCGCCCCGAACCCAAAGGCTCTTTTCAGAGCCACCTCCAAGCTCAAAAAGGAGCGTGCCACCTGGTCTGGTTGTGACCTGTGATTTAACTGGAGTAACGGGAGAAGGTAGAGTGAGTTGTGGAGGCGCAAGTCTTAGAGATAAAAGTAGTCTTCCTGTCTGTAATGGCGCATTTCCCTTAGAAAGGCTGCGTTCGTCTTCTCTTGGCCACAGGCAAAGTCAGAGAGGGCGCAGTACAGGAGATTGAACCATGGATCCTATCCAAAGATCTGTGTGTGGCGCACGCCCTGCGCGTGAGGAGCGTGGGTCACCTCCAGGAAGATCTTGTGCCACTTCCCCTCCCCCAGTGCCTCCTGGTGGCTGAGACTGGAGGACGTGCTCACTGAGGTCCGGGGTTGGGGGTGAGGGGTTTGTCGCGCCGTCTGGGTGCGGGTGCTTGGGTCCGTCCTTCTCCCGCCCCTTTCCTCCCTCCTTAGCCACAACTAGACACCGTGAGCTTCTAGCCAAAACCTTTTCAGCGGCGTTGCGCCTAAGCAGCTCTTTATGCCACGCCTTCCTGCTTGAAACATCAAAACAGCAGGCTCACATATCTCCTTATCACTCAGTTAAAATTTCCCCAATTAAGGGATTCTGGTACTTTATCCCAAAAATGTGTGTGTATGTGTGTGTACGCAAAATGCACAGTGAAAGATTATTTTGAATAATGCAAATATAGTGCTTTTTAAAAAAATTCCAGCAAATCATAGGCAAAATAATTATGATCTCTGGATGACACATTAAGTAAAAACTAAGGCATGCAGGCCTGACTGGGGCCCAGGCTGTCCTCTCCCTAAAAATACCGCGTACCTGTGTCACCCCAACCACCCTCTAAGCAGAAACGTTGCCTGGAATTAGGATTCAGATTCCAGGCTCAGTTCCCACTGGTAGAGGATGCACTCTACCCAGGCTCAGTTCCCACTGCACACCCCCAACACAATGACAGCCAAGCATTTATCAACATTTAACCTCTATGGTCTCGTAAAGTATATCAATTTTCTTGGGTTAGTTTTTTCTTAAAGGGAGTTTTCTTTCCTCCAAATTCTTTTTGTAAATAGGTTTTATTTTTTTATTTTATTTTATTTTATTTTTATTTTTTGAGACGGAGTCTCGCTCTGTTGCCCAGGCTGGAGTGCAGTGGCACTCTCGGCTCACTGAAAGCTCTGCCTCCTGGGTTCAGGCCATTCTCCTGCCTCAGCCTCCCGATTAGCTGGGACTACAGGCACCCGCCACCACGCCCGGCTAATTTTTTTGTATTTTTAGTAGAGACGGGGTTTCACCGTGTTAGCCAGGATGGTCTGGATCTCCTGACCTCGTGATCCACTTGCCTCGGCCTCCCAAAGTGCTGGGATTACAGGTGTGAGCCACCGCGCCCGTCCTAGGCTTTATTTTTTAGAGCACTTTTTCAGAGCAATAAGCTTTTTTATTAGTAGTACATAATAATTGTACATATTTGGGGGATACATACGATATTTTGATATACGCATAGGCATAACAATCAAACCAGGGCAACTGGGACATCCGTCATCATATTCACCCCCTCTTCAGGTCGAGATCATTCCAATTCCTCTCCTCCAGCAATACAACTAATTATTGTTACCTGCAGTCACCCTACTTTTCTAACCAACACTAGATGTTACTATTTCTCCTAAGTGTATTTTTGTACCCATTGATCGGCTTCATCTCCTCCTTTCCCCACCACTCTTCCCAGCTTCTGGTAACCAGTAATCAACTTTCTACCTCCGTGAGACCCATGTTCTTAGCTCCCACGTATGAGTGAGATCATGCAGTATTTGTCTTTCTCTGCCTGATTTGTTTCACTTAATATAATGTCCTCCAGTTCCATCCATGGTGCTGCTAATGATGGGATTTCATTATTTTTTTATGGCCAAATTGTATTTGAATGTGTAAATATACCACATATTCTTTATCCATTTATCTACTGATGGGCATTAAGGTTAACTCTCTTTCTTGGCTATTATAAATTGTGCTGCAATGAACATGAGACTGCAGACATCTCCTTGATATACCGATTTCCTTTATTTTGGGTATATACCCAGCAGTGGGGTTGCTGGATCATATGGTAAGTCTGTTTTTAGTTTATTTAAGAATGCCCATACTCGTCTCTATAGTGGCTGTACTGATTTACATTCTTATCAGCAGTGTACAAGCATTCCCTTTCCCCGCGTTCTCACCAACATGTTATTTTTTGTTTTTTTAATCAAAGTCACTTTAATTGGAGATGATTCCATCCAAATTATTTTATTTACTGCATAATAATTAGCCAATCTGACTTGAAATTTCCATCTGATATGGGTGAGGGGCAATCTCTTAAATACATTTCAGATTGTATGCCAGTCTGGAGGGATTTTGTAGGCATACAATCTGACATGTATTTCAGTGATTGTCACTCACTCATCTCAGATAGGTGAGATATGAACCTTAGTTTAAAAATCTGGCTTAGTTTGAGAATCTTGGCATGTCTCTCCAACCCAGAAAATGCTTCCATTTTGTTGAGTGGGTCCTAATTCCCGTGGATTCTGACATATTTGATGTGCACTCCGTTTATCATTAGCATTTGTCTTTCTCCGTTGTAACACTATAATTAGAGAAATGGGTTCTGGACACAATTGCTCTGAATTTTCTCCATTATAAAATCTCAGTAGCAGGGATCCTGTTTTACCTTCTTTGCCTCTCCCTTAACAGATTCCTGTCCTGGGAGAGAGGTACAAATCCCATGCATTCTGGGCCTGGGGGTGCTAACGCAGCAGGAAGAGACAGACAGCCTGTTTTTACTTCAAGTTTGTGTCAGGGGAATCAGAAGGACTGAGATATGAATTGACTGACGTTTGACATTATCCATCACAAAATGCCTTCTTAGAGAATTACACTTGGAAATGGTCATGAAATGTTCATCTTCTGCCTTGATTTGATCTCTGGCACCAACCAGCGTTGTTGCCTTGTGCTAACACAATCATTCACTCTCTCTGCTGGAGACTGGTTTCACTTTATTAAACCTATGTTTTAAGTTCCTTAAGGTGGAGAACTATATGGATCTGTGAGAGTAATTTCACAGCTGCAAATGTTTAAGGTATTGACTTCCAATCCATGCTGACAGGAGGCTGAGGGCTTGGATGTTCCAGTCATTGGGCACCTGTTTCATAGTGGAGAGGGCTGGATTCAATAGCTTTTCATACAAATTCTATATTTCTTGAAAATACTAAGGGTGTTGATAAGTCCGACTTACTTTTGATGATGGATCACTGTTTATTATTTGGATTATAACTGGGGATGCAAAGAATGGAATAAAATGCCTATGACAAAGTTGCTGTTCCTGTGCATTTTTTCTAAATTTTTTTGGAGCATACATCAAAACAAAACAGAATGGAAATGAGCCCGTGCACTGCTAGCATTGTAACCATATGGAAATGATCCCATGCTCTGCTAACACTGTAACCATATGAACACTGCATGCATGCAGTCACTGAGGTGGAAAGGGGAAGAGAAGAGTAGATGCACCATCCAGCTCATTAAAAGAGTCAGTTTCACTAAAAGTTTATGTTTGATAATAATCTATCAAATTATTTATGTTTTGAACAATTGTGTACTGTCAAGATGATTTTTCTAAAACACTGAGAGACTACCCAGAGGTAGTTTAAATTTCAATGTAGACTTTTTTGCAGAGAACGATAATAGACAAAACACCATTAAACATACAATAGATATATTATGGTAGGGTGAAATTGTAAGGCAAATGGAGAATAGAAATAGGCATTCAGGAAGAAAAAAATCATCTGAAACTTCTCATTGTCAAAGAAAAATTTGGTCATGTATTTTATGAATTAATTATACTATCATATTGATATTCCAAAAGGCACCTTAAGACTGATGTGAGAATTTTGATTTTTAAAAAGTCCCATATTGATATTTGTATCTTTGCAACTATTTTAATTGTAAATAAAAATATTTTAGATAGCTTTAAAATATGCAAGGTTCTCAAAGATTCTTTAGAGGAACCACGCAGGAAAAAAGGTGGGGAGTAGTGGACAAAGCCGTTTTGGTCGAGGATGTTCACATTGACCTTTCCTTCCGCATCCCAGGCACACGACGCGTTCCCTTTGGAGAGATGACTTGGGGGGAAAAAATAGTTTTCATTTAATTTTATTAAAAAATTATTTCTCGGCCGGGAGAAGTGGCTCACGCCTGTAATCCCAGCACTTTGGGAGGTCGAGGCGGGTGGATCACGAGGTCAAGAGATGGAGACCATCCTGGTCAACATGGTGAAACTCCTTCTCTACTGAAAATACAAAAATTAGCTGGGCGTGGGTGACGCACGCCTGTAGTCCCAGCCACTCCGTAGGCCGAAGCAAGGGAATCGTTTGAACCCGGGAGGCGGAGGTTGCAGTGAGCAGAGACCCCGCCATTGCACTCCAGCCTGGGCGACAGATCAAGACTCCGTCTCAAAAAAAAAAAAAAAAAAAAAAAATTCTCATTTAGCTTTATTGAATTTTTATTCCCTGCTGGAAACGGTGACACAAACGCTCAATACTTCGAATTTTCACAATGGTTTGGGGAAGCAATTACTGGAAATCTCCTTTTTCTAAACAAGAAAAGCCAAGTCATGAAAACGTAAACAATGCCCTTTCCAGAGCGAAAACTCTTCGTGCCAAAGAGCTTTCCTGCGCCAAAATGGCAGTCCCCAAATAAATGCCGTGAATTTGGAGGGGGTAGGAAAGGAATTCTGTGTTGCTAACGCCTCGCAGAAAACAATGTGGTAGAAGAGGGAGGTAGCTACATTTGCTCAGAAAAAGGGAATTCTTTCCCTCCTGAATTAACCCTTCCCCCACCCCCACTCCCATAAGGGTTAAAGCTACCGGCAGCTGGGGTCGCTTATTACATCCGGCTCCCCAGAGCAGGGCGCTGCTTTGACGCAGCGCTTCGATTCGGTATCAAACATCCTGCCATCGCAGTATCCTGCCAGGAAAATATCCTGCCGGAATGTTCATCACTTAAATCTAAGTATGTCTCTCTGGTCCAGGAAGGGATGGAAGTCTTAAGCAAATGCAGAGCCAGGCACCACCGCCAGGGGAACGTGACAACGCCCATGGCCTCAGAGCCCGTGGTCTTGAGCCACGTCTGGCCTCACCCATGGGGTGCGGGTAGGGATGGGGAGGTTGGCACAGGGTCTTTCTGGGGGAGGTGACCCGCACCGCTCACGTGCACCGCGCACGCCAAGCTCAGTTGGACACGGTCCTGAACCGGGCGCAAGCGCTCAACATCTAAGAATGCACCACTTGCTTATAAAAGACATTTGGGGTCGGGCGCGGTGGCTCACGCTTGTAATCCCCGCACTTTGGAAGGCCGAGGCGGATGGATCAACAGGTCAGGAGATCGAGACCATCCTGGCCAACATGGTGGAACCCCGTCTCTACTAAAAATACAAAAATTTAGCCAGGCGTGGTGGCCCATGCCTGTAATCCCAGCTACTCGTAAGGCTGAGGCACGAGAATCGCTTGAACCCAGGAGGCGGAGGTTGCAGTGAGCCGAGATTACGCCACTGCACTCCAGCCTAGCGACAGAGCAGACTCCGTCTCAAAAAAAAAAAAAAAAGTCTCGTCGCGTGTTAATATGTCCGCGCGGAGGGAGGGGGTGGAGAGGGGGTCCTTGATTGGCTCCCAACATTACTGAGCTACATCACCTGAGCACTGTTTCTACCCCAATTTCTGTAATGAGCAGTTTTTCTCGTTCTCTGCCGGCGCGCGCGCACACACACACACACACACACACACACACACACACACACACACACAGAGGAGGCTCACATTCGGCCGCACCCGGCAACCGCTAGGGCGCATGGAGACATATTAGGTTACATAACCCTTCACCGTGTTCGAAACCCTTTCTCGATCGTGTGGGTGGCTCTGAAAAGAGCCTTTGGGTTCAGGACGCCGGGAAACGCCTCACTTGGAGCTGGTGTACTTGGTGACAGCCTTGGTGCCCTCGGACACAGCGTGCTTGGCCAGCTCGCCCGGCAGCAGCAGGCGCACGGCCGTCTGCACTTCGCGGGACGTGATGGTGGAGCGCTTGTTGTAGTGCGCCAGGCGGGAGGCCTCGCTGGCGATGCGCTCGAAGATATCATTGACGAAGGAGTTCATGATGCCCATGGCCTTGGACGAGATGCCGGTGTCGGGGTGCACCTGCTTCAGCACCTTGTACACGTAGATAGAATAGCTCTCCTTGCGGCCGCGTTTGCGCTTCTTGCCGTCCTTCTTCTGCGCCTTGGTGACGGCCTTTTTAGAACCCTTCTTGGGCGCAGGAGCCGATTTGGAGGGGTCTGGCATGATGGCTGTGTCTCTCCAAAAAAACGCGCAGCGCTCGGAGTAACTCTATTTGTACGTTTTGTATTCAAATGAAGGCTCAGGATTTGCTCACTTCTGATTGGATCAAACGTTGTTCTACGTCATCGCTGGGAAAGGAATACGCAAATTAGGAGTGCCAGGTTCTTTTTCTGATTGGCTACCATAGCCATCCAATCGAACTCCGCGGTCTAGCCTACCTCCTTACCATAGATAAGGGCTCGCTGGAGTTCTCTTCCCTCTTGTTTTCGGTCTGGCTTTTGGATTCTTGTTGTCTTTTGCCCTTGAATCGGAAATGTCCGGTCGCGGTAAGCAGGGCGGCAAGGCGCGCGCCAAGGCCAAGTCGCGCTCATCGCGCGCGGGGCTGCAGTTCCCCGTGGGCCGAGTGCACCGGTTGCTCCGCAAGGGCAATTATTCCGAGCGCGTGGGGGCCGGCGCCCCGGTCTATCTGGCCGCGGTGCTGGAGTACCTGACCGCCGAGATTCTGGAGCTTGCCGGCAACGCGGCGCGCGACAACAAGAAGACGCGCATCATCCCGCGCCACCTGCAGCTTGCCATCCGCAACGACGAGGAGCTCAACAAGCTGCTGGGCCGCGTGACCATCGCGCAGGGCGGCGTCCTGCCCAACATCCAGGCCGTGCTGCTGCCCAAGAAGACGGAGAGCCACCACAAGGCCAAGGGCAAGTGAGGCCGCCCGCTGTCCCCGGGGCCCCTTTGATGGACATAAAGGCTCTTTTCAGAGCCACCCACCATCTCGAGAAAAGAGTCTCACTGAGCCTGCAGTTCTTTATAGGACGGAGTCCTGATCACCCTAGGCTCATGAATGAGCGCAGTGGCCACGGGGAAGGGCGCAACGGGAACCGAGACCCTGGAGACTGATTGGGTCGCATACTCGCCTGGTGGGCAACGTGTTCTGTTAACAGCAAGGAACCCTCGCCCACAGGTGGCTACCCCTTGCTCTTGAGTCCCATCGAAAACCTCTGGTAGGGGTTTTAATACGCTCACCGTAAAGGTGTCTTCATAATTACTAGTGACAAGTTCTCTTGACTCCGGCAAGGTTCCAGTGTGGTCGTCGAGTACAGAATGCAATTTCTTAATGATTTATCTGATATTAAAAGTATTTATGATCTCTAAGTAGTTTGCACTTTAATTCTGAAGAGTGAGTCTATGGATTCTATTTAAATTGCTAAGTTTTAACAATGTGAGCTCCACCAGGGTTAAGATTTAATCTATTTGGCTGGGAATTCTAAAGGTCATGAGGAAAGGTTCAGTACTTAAAAGGAACCAGATTAGCAGATGCTGAAAAGTATAAACCTTTTAAGAAGACTTAATTTGGAATAGGATAATTATTTAAAGGAATTTAGTTTGTTTAATTCCAGTTGGTCAAACATTAATCAAAGATCCGCTTAAATTGATTGCTAAAATCAGAACAAAATAATTTGTACACTGATTCTGAAAAGGAAAACTAAATCTGCGAGTTAAGCAAATTTACAATGAGTATTGTTAGAACCAGATGAATGATGACACATGTGGACTTGAGGAAAATAACTGTTTGTAACTACATTTTTCCTTATAAAAAGGAGGGTTTAAGAGGGTCAGAGACCTCCAGGCAAATTAACTGAAATGGCTGTGTTAATAACCTCTAAATCTTGGAGGAGAGAGGTTCATTGATTTAATCCATTATAATCCCTTAAAAATGTTTGCCACAAAATCAGAGCTCAGAAAGTGTTACTCTTCTGTTGTTATCTGTACAGTTTTCATTAATCTATTTCTCAAAATATGAATGATTCCTACTTTGTTTTTTTTCTTTAATCCCCAATGTGATAGTATTTAGTTAATTGACACCTAACAATTGTATATTGCATGGGGTACATAGTGATATTTTGAATATATTTATTATCAGATCAGGGTAATTAGCAATTATTATTTATTGTAATAACAAATATAGGCCAGTAAAATGATTCAGGAATATTATATAATTTATATTTACCCTATTAAAATTGGGTCTACTCAAGTCGCCTTCCTGGACACCAGCTAACCACAAATCTGCGTGTCTTTAGAAAATATCCCAGTGCTATGAAACTATTTGAACCAAAAATTGGTAAGCAGCTGCTCCAACAGTGTGGATCTAAACAGCACAATATTCACAGTGTGTGTCATGAGTGGGCAGCATTTCAGTAAAACAAAACTGCAAGGACTGGCCAGGAAAGGAAGTAGCCTTCAGAGCTCTTTTCATTATTTTTCTTGTGAAAGCCTTCATTTTCAGTTGAAATTTATCTTTATGTATTTATATCTATGTAGGTCACTCTATCTCTTCAAATACACTTTAATGGTATTTAAGGTTTTTGCAGGGTCTGGGGGCTTTAAGTGTTTTGATTATCACCATGGATTTCCAGATTTTGTAAAAGGTTCTCAAATGGAGTGAAGGGGGAGGCAGCGTAGTGGGAGGGCTACTTTGGGGTAGCACTGCGTTTGTTATCTCTGAGGCTGTGGTGTTTCACACACAGCAACGAACCACACAGGCTATTTAATTTTCAGATAATTAAAATTTAATACAAAATGTAGTTCATCAGTCATCTTAACCACATGTGGCCAGTGGATACCATGTTAGCACAGATACAGAATGTTTCCAGCATCACAGAAAGTTCCACTGGATAGCTTTGGTCTAAGATCTGGTTCTCTATCCGGTTATCCGATTCAGAAATGTAGTAAATTACCCAGTGCTGCCTGCTTCAGTAAAAGAAAGTTCATTAGACTCTTTTTTATTTTTATTTTCATTTTTTTTTAAGATAAAGCCATGCCCTGTGTCCCAGGCTGGAGTGCAGTGGAGTGATCTCGGCTCACTGGAACTTCTGCCTACTGGGTTCAAGTGATTCTTCTGCCTCAGCCTCCCAAGTAGCGCCCGCCACCATGCCTGGCTGTTTTTTGTTTGTTTGTTTGTTTTTTGGTTTTTTTTTTTTTTGAGATGGAGTATCTCTTTGTAGCCCAGGCTGGAGTGCAGTGGTATGATCTCAGTGGAGTGGCGAGATCTCAGCTCACTGCAACCTCTGCCTCCAGGGTTGGAGCAATTATCCTGTCTCAGCCTCCCAAGCAGCTGGGACTACAGGCGCCTGCCACCACGCCTGGCAAATTTTTGTATTTTTAGTAGAAACAGGGTTTCACCACCTTGTTGGTCAGACTGGTCTCAAACTCCTGACCTCAGGTGATCTGCCCGCCTTGGCCTCCCAAAGTGCTGGGATTACAGGCATGAGCCTGTAATGGAGCACTCAGCTTCATTAGACTCTCACATAAAGAAGACATCACCGTATGGTCCTGCAATTCCAGTCCTAGGTATATATACCCAAGATAAATGAAAATATACATTTATTCACAAACATGTACACAAATGCTCATGGCAGCATTATTCATGAAATACAGAAGGTAGAAACAACCCAAATGTCCATCAACTAAGGAATGGGTAAGCAGATTGGGGTCTATCCAATTACAATGAAATATTATTCAGTCATTCAAAAGAAATGAAGCACTGACATGCTACTACAGGGATGAATCTTGACAACATGCTCAGTCAAGTAAGCCAGATACAAAGGCCACAGATTGTCTGAGTCCATTGATACGAAATGTCCAGAACAGGCAAATCCGTAGGGACTGAAGGCAGACTGTTGGCTGTCAGGGGCTGGAGGAAGGGAGTGCCTGCCTAGTGGGGACGGCTTCCTTTAGGGGTGATGAGGATGTTCTGGAACTAGACAAAGGTGATAACTGCATAACATTGTGAATGTACTAAATGCACCTGAATTGTGTATTTTTAAATGGTACATTGTGTGTCATGTGAATTTCACCACTCAATGTTTTTAAAAATCTGAACCTAATACACGAATGTGTACCAAATCGTCCCGTAACCAGGAGAACAGAAAGGAAAGGCAAGAAAGCCTGGGGTCCCAGAAGGGCTGCGGGGAAGGTAGACCAGATGCTCGAGAGGAGAGAGGCCCATTCTAGTGCTTTCCAGGATGCTACTGGCCTACCCCAGGTATAAAGAGGGGCAGCAGGGACTGCCTTTGGTGCAGCAGCCATAACTTGGGGACCTTGTGGAGAGAAGAGGGTCCTGTTGGTGGCTGTGGGCAGCTCATCTCCACAGGGCTGGCTGTCTTCCTGTGGATGCATCGTGACCTTTCTCTGCCCGCTGCATTCCCAGTATGCACCCACCTTCTCTGGAAGTTTACTCTTGATACTTCACACACCCCTATGGGCAGGCACTTTATGGAGGAAGAAGAGAAAAGGAGATATGTCCCAGAGGGAGAATGCAGCTGAAGCCAGCCTCAGGAGTAACCCACAGAGAGAGCTTGCAGTTTTGCAGAACGCAGCTTGGCTCAGCCGTGTTCCACATCCCTCTCCTCCCCTCTTCTGGCCGTGGGTCTCTCCCCAGCCCCAGCTGGTCAGTTCCCACATGGCTCAACACCAAAATGCTTGAGTCTTCCAATTAAAAAGAAAACAAAACATAAAAAACTACCACCTTCTTCCCTGCAATTTCTTCCTCTCCTGAGAGGCTGCATTAAAGCGTTTGTGATGCCAGTCCTTCAGGAAAGCAGTTTTGGGTACCTGCTCTGACCCCTGTCCAGTGTGGGTTGTACTGAACTCATCCTCGTTGTCCCTGTCTGTGTGTTTTCCCATCTCACAGGGCCCCCAACTCTGATCGCCAGAGTAGGCCTGGGACCTGCCTGAAAGAGTCTCTAGTTTCCTGCATGCCACTCACCAAGCGTCAGCTGCAGTGGGATGCTGGCCATATCTGTCTCACTGCTGCCTAGTGGCAGCTGCTTCTGGGCAGGCGGCTGGGAACACCAAGTCCAGGGCACCACCTGGCTTCCAGACCCTGGACCCAGCAGCCACCCCTCGTGGAGCTGCCCTTGGGCCCCAGACCATCTTTGTTGCCCAGTGGGCTGTGCCCTCAGCCCACTCATGGCCCTGAGTGGGCCCTACTGGTCACTGGCTGGCCAGGCCCAGGTTTCTCCTGTCAAGATAACAAACTAGCCCAAAGCATTGTGGCCGGTGGGCCTGTGGGGCTGAGGTGAGAGCCAGGCTTCCCAGACAGCAGGTATCTGGTGAACAGGCTAGACCTGGCTTCTGGGCCTTCGCCACCCACCGAGGGCCAGCGGAGGGTCAGGAGGGGTCAGGGAGGAGTTCAGGTGGTGAGTCAGGGAAGGGTCAATGGAGGGTCAGGAGGAATCAAGGATGAGTCAGCTGCTGGGTCAGCTGGTGGGTCCATGGTGGGCACGTGTGGCCACTGAGACACAGGCTGTCCTGGCCATGCCATAGAGAAAGGTGGGCTGGAATGGTGATCCCAACGGGAGTGCCTCAAATGAGCCAGGCCTGTTTAGCGTATCCTGAATATTCACTACCTATTGTATACTTAGTGTTGTCCTGAATATTTAGTGCCTCTTGCATATCTAGTCATCCTAGATACCTAAGCCTCGTGTTTATTTATCTTAATATTTAGTGCCTCTTGTATACTTAGGGATCATTAACATCTAACATGTACTGCATCTTGTATATATAGTGGTCATAAGTATTCAGTGCCTCTCATAAATTTAGCAATCCTGAATATTTAGTGCTTCTTGTATAGTTAGTGATCATGAATATTTAGTGCCTCTTGTACAACTAGTCACCTTGAATATTTAATATTTAGTGTACTTTGTATACCTAGTGAGCATGAACACTTTGCCTCTCATACATTTACCAATCCTGGATTTTCAATGTCTCTAATGTATTTAGTGATCCTGAATATTTAGTGCTTCTTGTATATTTTGTGATCATTAATATTTAGTTTCTCCTATGTGTTTAGCGATCCTTAATATTTAGTGTCTGTGGTATATATATATATTTTTTTTTCTTTTTTTTTTTTTTGAGATGGAGTCTCGCTCTGTCATCCAGGCTGGAGTGCAGTGGCACGATCTCCGCTCACTGTAAGCTCCGCCCCCCCAGTTCATGCCATTCTCCTGCCTCAGCCTCCTGAGTAGCTGGGACTACAGGCATCCGCCACCATGCCCAGCTATTATTTTTTGTATTTTTAGTAGAGATGGGATTTCACTGTGTTCGCCAGGATGGTCTCGATCTCCTAACCTCGTGACCTGCCCTCCT